ACAACTGTGACCACCAAAGTGATGGCATAAACACAACTGTGACCACCAAAGTGATGGCATAAACACACAACTGTGACCACCAAAGTGATGGCATAAACACAATATGTGACCACCAAAGTGATGGCATAAACACAACTGTGACCACAAAGTGTGGACCACCAAAGTGATGGCATAAAACACAACTGTGACCACCAAAGTGATGGCATAAACACAACTGTGACCACCAAAGTGATGGCATAAACACAACTGTGACCACCAAAGTGATGGCATAAACACAACTGTGACCACCAAAGTGATGGCATAAACACAAACTGTGACCACCAAAGTGATGGCATAAACACAACTGATGACCACCACCAAGTGATGGCATAAACACAACTGTGACCACCAAAGTGATGGCATAAACACAACTGTGACCACCAAAGTGATGGCATAAACACAACTGTGACCACCAAAGTGATGGCATAAACACAACTGTGACCACCAAAGTGATGGCATAAACACAACTGTGACCACCAAAGTGATGGCATAAACACAACTGTGACCACCAAAGTGATGGCATAAACACAACTGTGACCACAAAGTGATGGCATAAAACACAACTGTGACCACCAAAGTGATGGCATAAACACAACTGTGACCACCAAAGTGATGGCATAAACACAACTGTGACCACCAAAGTGATGGCATAAACACAACTGTGACCACCAAAGTGATGGCATAAACACAACTGTGACCACCAAAGTGATGGCATAAACACAACTGTGACCACCAAAGTGATGGCATAAACACAACTGTGACCACCAAAGTGATGGCATAAACACAACTGTGACCACCAAAGTGATGGCATAAAAACACAACTGTGACAACTGTGACCACCAAAGTGATGGCATAAACACAACTGTGACCACCAAAGTGATGGCATAAACACAACTGTGACCACCAAAGTGATGGCATAAACACAACTGTGACCACCAAAGTGATGGCATAAACACAATTGTGACCACCAAAGTGATGGCATAAACACAACTGTGACCACCAAAGTGATGGCATAAACACAACTGTGACCACCAAAGTGATGGCACAAACACACTGTGACCACCAAAGTGATGGCATAAACACAATTGTGACCACCAAAGTGATGGCATAAACACAATTGTGACCACCAAAGTGATGGCATAAACACAACTGTGACCACCAAGTGATGGCATAAACACAACTGTGACCACCAAAGTGATGGCATAAACACAACTGTGACCACCAAAGTGATGGCATAAACACAACTGTGACCACCAAAGTGATGGCATAAACACAACTGTGACCACCAAAGTGATGGCATAAACACCTGTGACCACCAAGTGATGGCATAAACACAATTGTGACCACCAAAGTGATGGCATAAACACAACTGTGACCACCAAAGTGATGGCATAAACACAACTGTGACCACCAAAGTGATGGCATAAACACAACTGTGACCACCAAAGTGATGGACCACCACCAAAGTGATGGCATAAACACAACTGTGACCACCAAAGTGATGGCATAAACACAACTGTGACCACCAAAGTGATGGCATAAACACAACTGTGACCACCAAAGTGATGGCATAAACACAACTGTGACCACCAAAGTGATGGCATAAACACAACTGTGACCACCAAAGTGATGGCATAAACACAACTGTGACCACCAAAGTGATGGCATAAACACAACTGTGACCACCAAAGTGATGGCATAAACACAACTGTGACCACCAAAGTGATGGCATAAACACAACTGTGACCACCAAAGTGATGGCATAAACACAACTGTGACCACCAAAGTGATGGCATAAACACAACTGTGACCACCAAAGTGATGGCATAAACACAACTGTGACCACCAAAGTGATGGCATAAACACAACTGTGACCACCAAAGTGATGGCATAAACACAACTGTGACCACCAAAGTGATGGCATAAACACAACTGTGACCACCAAAGTGATGGCATAAACACAACTGTGACCACCAAAGTGATGGCATAAACACAACTGTGACCACCAAAGTGATGGCATAAACACAATTGTGACCACCAAAGTGATGGCATAAACACAACTGTGACCACCAAAGTGATGGACCACCAAAGTGATAAACACAACTGTGACCACCAAAGTGATGGCATAAACACAACTGTGACCACCAAAGTGATGGCATAAACACAACTGTGACCACCAAAGTGATGGCATAAACACAACTGTGACCACCAAAGTGATGGCATAAACACAACTGTGACCACAAAGTGATGACCACCAACTGTGACCACCAAAGTGATGGCATAAACACAACTGTGACCACCAAAGTGATGGCATAAACACAACTGTGACCACACCAAAGTGATGGCATAAAACAACTGTGACCACCAAAGTGATGGCATAAACACTGTGACCACCAAAGTGATGGCATAAACACAACTGTGACCACCAAAGTGATGGCATAAACACAACTGTGACCACCAAAGTGATGGCATAAAACACAACTGTGACCACCAAAGTGATGGCATAAACACAACTGTGACCACCAAAGTGATGGCATAAACACAACTGTGACCACCAAAGTGATGGCATAAACACAACTGTGACCACCAAAGTGATGGCATAAAACACAACTGTGACCACCAAAGTGATGGCATAAAACAACACCAACTGTGACCACCAAAGTGATGGCATAAACACAACTGTGACCACCAAAGTGATGGCATAAACACAACTGTGACCACCAAAGTGATGGCATAAACACAACTGTGACCACCAAAGTGATGGCATAAACACAACTGTGACCACCAAAGTGATGGCATAAAACAACTGTGAACTGTGACCACCAAAGTGATGGCATAAACACAACTGTGACCACCAAAGTGATGGCATAAACACAACTGTGACCACCAAAGTGATGGCATAAACACAACTGTGACCACCAAAGTGATGGCATAAACACAATTGTGACCACCAAAGTGATGGCATAAACACAACTGTGACCACCAAAGTGATGGCATAAACACAACTGTGACCACCAAAGTGATGGCATAAACACAACTGTGACCACCAAAGTGATGGCATAAACACAATTAAACACAACCTGTGACCACCAAAGTGATGGCATAAACACAACTGTGACCACCAAAGTGATGGCATAAACACAACTGTGACCACCAAAGTGATGGCATAAACACAACTGTGACCACCAAAGTGATGGCGTTATGTTTTCTCAAAGGCAAAAGTGTGCAGTTTTTATTTAGTTTTATTTATAAATTTGATTAGTTTCATTTGAAAGTATATAATAAAGGTTTCAAACCCTTGTTATTTTAATATAAATATACTGCATTTTGGGACAGAGCTCCCTCCCCACCCCTTTTATTTTAATAAAAAGTTACAAGAGCTCCATGTCTGACCCAGTCCTGTGAGTAACAGGAAGTATTATGGGAAGCAAAGGTGGCTGACTACATAACCCATTAAGTTCCGATTGGTTTTTAAAAATATAGGTCTTGTATCATACGCTACGATGAATTACCGACATGACAGTTAAGGACCCTTTCTCGTGCCTTTTAGCTTTATGGGTATTGGTAAGTAAAGAACCTTTTCCTACGCCTTTATGTGTACTGGACATTCAGGGATAGACCAACCAGCACTCTGTGGTTGATATAGTCAACATCATGTCCGCCGCCTTTATTTCCCAGGACTTTCTCTGGTACCCACTCAAGGCTTGGTTGACCTGGAAGTCTGTGTAATTTTTTTTTTAACAATCCGACCTGATTCGGATTCGAACCTACAATTTTCGCAACCCTAGGCCAGACTCTAGCCGCAACATTACGGCGGCTCCTTGCTGTTAGGAAGCTTGTCCTTTTTTTTTTATGAGTCCGGCGTTAATAAATGGACTCTGAATAGTGCACTTGAATGAAAACAACTTCATGTGAAATGCGCTTCGATGCTCATTGACAACACAAGAGGAGACAGCGTTACGAATACCAACCAGCATTAGAGAAAAGGTCAGAAAAAGACCATGTATGGATTATGTTGACAGACAAAGAATGAAAGGGTTTAGACATCTAGTGAGATGCATCCAGAAACATTTGCTTCCTAAAATGCGTATGAAACTTTTTTTACAGCAGAACAAGACGAGAGAAAGGCCAAGAAAGACATGGATACATGATACAGCAGAAACCTGCAAGAAGGTGAACAAATGCATCACTCAAGCCACCGGAGAAGCGCAAGACAAATACAGAAAACCACGATAATGGGCTACAACCTGGTATCAATGAGACGAAAAAACAATGACACTGGGCTACAACCTGATATCAGTGAGACGACAAAACTGCGACACTGGGCGCAATCTAGTATGAGTGAGACGACAAAACCACGGTACTGGGCTACGTCCTGGTATCAGTGATAGGACAAAATCACTACACTGGACTACAGCCTGGTATCAGTGAGACCACACAACAACGATACTGGGCTAGAACCTGGTATCAGTGAGACGATAGAACCACGACACTGGGCTACATCCTGGTAACAGTGATACGATAAAACCACGATACTGGGCTACACCCTCCTTTCAGTGAGACCACAAAATCACGACACTGGGCTACATCCTGGTAGCAATGAGACGACAAAAGAAGAAGAAGAAGAAGTCAGGCGTCGTCTCCACAATGATGGTTGTCTGTAATGGATTAGCTGCACCCTCCGTCTGTCGCCTTGGTTGTACACTTGGTTGTACACTTGTTTGTACACTTTGTCAGACTTGGTTGTACACTTTGTCAGACTTGGTTGTACACTTTGTCAGACTTCGTTGTACACTTTGTCAGACTTCGTTGTACACTTTGTCAGACTTGGTTGTTCACTGTCCTGATGTTCTATCCCACTTGTGTATCGATGTATACCTCTTTCTTTGTTCCCTTTGGCATTTCCTTAAGAAGACACATTGATAAACTTGGTCTATTTCTTTTTTTTTTTTAAACACTAGGAGAGGAACCATTGGCCAGCAACGGGACCTATGTGGAGTTTATTCTCTCTGAAGAAGACAACCCAAATAACTGGGGAGCTAAAATCGTGTCCAGTCAGGTGGGTGTTCTTCTTCTTTAGCATTTCGAGCCCTGAGGTTCATCACTGCAGATATCACCCGCCTCCACTCATTTCTCTGGTTAGCCTACTCTTTCCAGTTGGTGACATCAAGTGTTTGCAGGTCTGTCTGGACATTATTTCTCCATTGTCTTCTTGGTCTGCCTCATGGTCTACGACCATTCATCCCCCTTGTGTTGTGTTTACAGTTTGTACTTCTCTGTCGCTGACATTCTTTCAATGTGTCCTAACCATTTCAGTCTAGCAGCTCTCATGATTCCTCTGATCAATGGTGATTTAAACAGATTATGAATTTCGTTGTTGCTTGTCAATCTCCATTCCCCGATGTTTGCATATTTGATGAGTCCAAAGATTCGTCGTAAAACTGTTTTCGACAACCTGTAATAAGGCTTCATCTCTTTTAATAAGTGGGTGTTCATTTATTCAAAATTTATTATATCCAAATGTGGTGCCGAAAGTGAGTCATGAACAGTTGGTTGAAGATTAATGTACAATTTTTTTGGGAAGCTGCAGAGATGTGGTTTTATAGACGAATGATGAGAATACTCTGAACAGATAAAAAGAATAATAAAGATGTCTTGAAAGAAACTGACTCACATCAGAAGCAGACAATCTACGTTCTTTGGTCATGTCATGAGGATGAGAAAACTGAAGTACATCGTGGCAGTAGGAAAGTTGGCGAGAAAGAGAAGCAGTGGGAGACGGAGAGAGAAGATGCTTGACCGTTTGACATTATGGCACTGAGTATCATCTGTGTCAGAGTTGATTGAAAGTACACGAGACGGAAGGTTGTGGATAGACATGACTACCAACGCCACACGACATGGACTATGGAAGATCATCTGTGTCAGAACTGATTGAAAGTACACGAGACAGAAGGTTGTGGATAGACATGACTACCAACACCACACGGCATGGACTATGGAAGATCATCGGTGTCAGAGTTGATTGAAAGTACACGAGACAGAAGGTTGTGGATAGACATGACTACCAACGCCACAGGGCATGGACTATGGAAGATCATCTGTGTCAGAGTTGATTAAAAGTACACGAGACAGAAGGTTGTGGATAGACATGACTACCAACACCAGACGGCATGGATTTTGACAAAGAAAAAAAAATGTGTTGCTTTCTTTACATTGGAGGTAGGCCGCATTTTGATCAACCGCTGTCTTTCTGACCATTTCGTAGGAAGACCGTGTCTCTTCCAAGGGAGAAAACAAAATTGTAATTATTGTCTGTTTTCCCACTTTTAAAGACGGTGTATAAGGCAGACCTGGTTAGTGCCCTTGTAGGAAGGCGTGTACAGTTCAGAGAAGCAGATGAATCACCAGTCTGGTGAGATTGATGCAGCGGGGAGTGAGAAGAGCGTCTGGTAGATGCTCGAGGCTCAGAGGAAAGGCAAGACGGACGTTTAATCGGAATGCCACTGGCACCATTAGTATCGGAACTCGTCACTGGCTGCTGAAGATGAGGATGGAGCGCTTATGGGAATGCCCAGAGTGCGGTTATGTCGGTTTTCAAGTCAACTCAACTCATCGCGGTCTTGGGTCTGAGGATTTAGAGCCGCCTGGCTAGTGCTGTAGCCAGGACTGTGCAGGTTACGACAGAAAAACCCCATCCCCTTAACGGGTGTCGAACTTGGATCTCTCGCATGAGAACCCGACTTTGCAGCCGCTCCTCTTCCAAGGAAGTAATTCGCGTTAAGTGGCTGCTGCAGTACAGTAAGATGTAAACTTGTAATGTGTCTACTATTTTTACATGCTTTACTCCCATGAGATTGATCATGGACGAAACTGGCGATGATAGGACATTGCCATGAGCGCTCCGTCCACATCTTCAGCAACAAGAATTCCTATTCCAGTGCTACAAATTGTAGTCTGATTGTATATGCGACTCACCTTTTCTTTAAGTGCTGATCTTCGATTAGATCCCCTGTTTACTCTTCGCAGCGCCATTCCCTGCAGACCGCGATGATCCGTCTGTGCTTCCGTACTGTTCACTTGCCCCCAAAGGCCCCCTACAACATCTAGCTTGTCATGGATGAATTCAAAACCAAGTTGTGCAGAATCAGCCAGTCTATCTATCTGTTCATTTCCTAAAACACCGTTATAGCTGGGGGAAATTTCCAAAAGACGCTAAATGCCTGGGAACTCTGAAGCGATGCTTGCCACTCTTCACCGAGCATACTGGCCTTCCCCTTTCTCAGTCTAGTGATGATGATCATAAACATGAGGATAACTGGGGACTACGATGATAATATGATAATAATGATGATGAGGATAATGATGATAGACTTAAAGTGCTGAAACTATATTTCATAGACCAATTGGTACTCAGTGGTGTATGTGTTCCATGGTACCCATTTTTTAGGCTGGGTGGACCTAACTACCCTTACCCCCAACCCCACCCCTCCTCCCAAAGGAAGCTGGCTTCCTTCGGATGTGAACTCATCACCGTAGGATCCAATAGCAGGCTTTTGTCCACTACACCACATCGGCTTCATTTATTTAAAATGATAATGGTATAACAGGAATAGCGGACCGTCTTGAGTTGGTTTCTACAGTGGTACTGAGAGCTCATCATTCTACTGGAATAGCCAGCTACTGAAAGTAAAATTTGTCTAGAAAAACCACAAAATCTAATAAAATTTTGGAGTTGTGCAATGTTCTGTAAAGGAATGGAAACTGCGTGATCTCGAGATATGGTGTCCGCCTCGAGAGGTTCCGGGTTCAATACCCGGTAAGGGCTGGGATTTTTTCACGTAGACTTGGACTTCTAGTATTTCCCCTGGTCTCTGGTTTGTGAGATCGGACGCCCGTGGGCACTGTTGCGCACGCGAACAATCCCTTGGCAGTTGGAAATCGAAAAGAGTAGCCTAACGTCGCTGCCTGGGCTAAATTTGGAGTTAAAAATCTACCCAAATTATTTCAGGATCCTCGCCAAGCTACAGAGCCTGTGCACTGTGCTGAGCTTTTTCGGACTCAGACTTGAGTTAGAAGAAGAACGGAGCACTTATGCCATGATGTTGATCCGTTGTTCAAACCTCAAACGTCAAATCTCTGTGAAGAATACGCAACTAACTTTTTAAATGATGTGGTTAATGATAAGGGTGCCATTGATGCAAATTTCAGGCCGAGACGATTACCGTTGACATATTCACCCCCTCCACCTGCCTTATAGCCAAATGGGCCTTTAGGGTCATCGTGGTGAAGAAAGAGAACACGGACGTCAGCGTGTACAAATACAATCACAAGAACCCTATCTATATCTTGTTCAACCCTTGGTGTAAAGGTATGTCTAGTATTGCTTCTATTTGTTACATAAATTTATGTGATTAGTGAGACAACATGGGCGACCGAGTTGTCCTTTGGCTCGTCGGAAGACGACTTCGTCATCAGTTGCCGACAGAATGGGGTCTGTCTCGCTTGCTCGAATAAATAGTACATCGCTTGCTCGAATAAATAGTACAAGAGTCCTTTTCAGGGCTACTTGGTGGCGAGCACTGCTAAATCAATTTCTATGGCGCAAAAAACCTAACCACATTTATAACCGAAAGGTCCCCATTTTGGGATGCTTGTTGCAAGTGACTTTTTTTTTTTTTTTTTTTCACCAAAGAAGACAGGATTAGTAAAGACTTATTATCACAGCACTCAGACTAAATCCATAGATGCTCTGATCTACTCCTCAGTAGCTCCACAAGAGTAAAACGACTGACCACGTCCGTTCTATGTTGATTAACCAGACGCCTTTACGTTTTGTGCTGTTGGTGAAATGTTCATATCTGGCTACTCCAGATTGCACCCGCGTGTCCACAACTCTGGACACCACCCTGGACACCACGCTGGACACCACGCTGGACACCACCCTGGACACCACCCTGGACACCATCCTGGACACCACGCTGGACACCATCCTGGACACCATCCTGGACACCATCCTGGACACCACCCTGGACACCACCCTGGACACCACGCTGGACACCACGCTGGACACCACCCTGGACACCACCCTGGACACCACGCTGGACACCACCCTGGACACCACCCTGGACACCACCCTGGACACCATCCTGGACACCACCCTGGACACAGATACAGCTGAGTCCTGCTCGTTGTCGTGATCTTCTCTGCGACATACAGTTCGCCTGGGATTATGGACATCATTCATGTCCAGTCGAGGACCAGTCGTGATACCCGCCTTGTCTGCCAGACAATCTGCACACTCATTGCCGACGATACCTTCAACTGTTACCTCGTCCAAGAGGCAAGGGATCATCTTTGCCTTGGGCAGTTGCAGTACGCCCTACCTTCCCCCGCCCCCCCCCCCCTTTTTTTTCCCCTTCTCAGTTGGCCACAAAACACAGTAATTCAGTCTAATAGCAAAAGTGAAGAACCTTTTCCCACGCCTTAAGGCATAAAGGGTACATAGGGCTAGAACTATATTTTACAGACCAATCGTCACAAGATGTGGTCAGCATCACGCCGGTCGCCTTTACTCACCGGGACTGCACCCGGTACCCACTCAAGTCTGGGTCTCGGGAGAGGCAAGGTCATTTTTTGAAAAAAGGCCGTCTCACCAACGAACTTCCGAGGCTCGACGAGCGTCTAGCCGATCCGCCACGGCGACTCCCTTAATAGCAATACAGGGTTTAAGTTTTCCTGTTTTCTTTTACCTACTTTTTCTTCCACCTTTTATCCCCCTCAACCACTTCAGGCCAGGTCGTCCTGACCTGTGATATCCTAGGTAACTTATCCAGTGTCCTCCAAATAGTAATTTCACTCTCCCGTTCCCTGCTCGATGTAGTTGTAAAAAAGTTGTGTTTTTTTTTTTCAATAGTAATGATTCCTTTTCACTCGCATCAGGCATATGGGAAGAGCACCCCATATCTTTACAGACCAATCGGCACTAGGTGGGTAATGTGGTCAGCATTACGCCGGCCGTCTTTACTTCCCACAGGACAGCCATCCTGTTACCCATTTGAGGCTGGGTCCACCTGCGACGCCCCATACCATGATAAAAATCCACGCAGCCCGCGGTATGTCTAAATTACGAGTCGGACTCGCAACGCCTAAGCCTGGGACGCAGCAGATGTAATTGCGACCTGCCTATACTCCTATGTCGGCTCTGTGGCTAAGTCGATGCGAACGCTTCGTAATGCCTTGATGCCGAGTTTGATCCCAGCTGAGGGCCATGCGCCTTGCGTTGGTTTCGACAGTGGTATCAAGAAAGCCGACCGTCCAGAGGCAATGGCAAACTACTAGACGTAAATTTGCCTAGAAAAACCACACAACAGCCAGGGGCTATTCGGGTTGGTTCTGCAACGTCCTGTAAAGGATACGCAACTAACCTATACTCCTGTGGGTCCCAGTGTAAGACCTGTCTAGTTATATTTTTTTTTTAAATATTTCCACAGCGTGGGTTCACTGGAATTTGTTTCTTCTTCTTCTTCTGCCTTTCTAGCCTCAATGGAGCATAGGCCATTAACCAACTCACGCTAAGTCGTTTTATCCTATGCTATCGCATACAGCTCTCCACTGTCCTTCCCATCTTTCTAACTTCATTCTCCAGCTCCCTTCTTCGTGTGTTTTATTGGCCTTTTTGTATTTATAAACCCCTGTGGGTTCCGATGCAAAAACATTCTAGTTATACTGTTCTCCGGTTTCCTTAATGTGTGTCCTATCCAACGCCAGCGTCTTTTCCGTACCTCTTGGTCCACTGGAGCTTGCTTAGTTCTCTCTCCCAAAGCTCTACATTAGTTGTTCTATCATACCATTTAATTCCCTCTATTCTGCGCAGGCACCAGTTAATGAATGTCTGTAGTTTTTATCACTAAGCTCCACGTTAGTGATCTGCCATACAATTTAATCCCATGGACTCTACGCAAGCACCAGTTAATGAATGCTTATAACTTATTGGTAATTGTTTTAGCCGTTCTAAATGTTCCTCTTTCCTCTCTATACAGCAGTAGGGACTTGACATTAAAGTTAGATATTTTAAATGTATTATTAGTTTCAATTTCCGTTACTTTCTTACACCAACACTAATTTTGTTTTTTAAGTGGCTGGAGCTGCTGTGGGTATGTTACAACTCATTATCATATACCACGATCATAATCTTTGGAGTCTTGCTACATATGCCATTGAAACCTTACCTTTATACTACATAAGGCATCACTGGGCAAGGTGTAACTCCCTTTTATGTACCACAATCGTGACCTCTAGGAATCTTGCTGCATATGTCATAAAAACTCCACCTTTGTACTACCTCAGACACTGAACAACTTGTAACTCCCGTTTATGTACCACAATCGTGATCTCTGGAATTTTGGTGTATATGTCATAAAAACTCCACGTTTGTACTACCTCAGACACTGAACAAGTTGTAACTCCTGCTTATGTTTCACAATCCTTCCAGACGATCTTGTTTACTTGGAAGACGAGAACCTTCTCAACGAGTACATTCTGAACGAGTCTGGGAAGATCTACACTGGGTCATCCACGAGCATCTCCGGCAGGCCATGGAACTTTGGTCAGGTATTACGAGAGAGAGAATTATTTATATGATTAATTGAGCCCCCACCAAATGTAATTGATCGTTAGTTAAAAAGGTAAGACTGAATACACTTGGAATTTAACAAACTTTAGCTACCCAGTTTGTTTGTGTTACACACAAACAGTGGACTAGCTAAAGTTATGATAGTTTTCCCTAGAACCTCTGACAGCCGTGAGCACTGTCAAGCTCTTCCTCCTCTTCCAGCTCTTCCCTGCTTGTTTCTCCTTCTTCCACCTCGTTCCCAGCTGGCCGAGTCTACCACAATGTAGGCTACTTCATGGACTGATCGTCACATGGGCGCTGTAATCATGGAAACAAAACACATACGTGTAGTATCTTGACTTACACTAAGAATACATGTATCAATTAATACAACATATAATAATAAGATATAGCCCATCACTCCTCCTCATATTCCACATCCTCTCCAGTCTAGTCTGAAGGTCTTTTGTCTTACATGGGCGTCACATATCCTGCCTTCCCTCAAATGCTATGTCATGATAGTTGACTTTCTAAGTCTGTTGTCCGTCTTCACTCAGACTTCGAGTGGCTGACATAGATATTACAGGGAGCAGGTTATGTGCTGAAAACTCAAACATTATATATGTGCACGCTGTCTGAATATTATCTTTCAGTGACAGTAAATACTGTACACCCATCATTCTCCCCTGGGGTTATAAATCCCCTGTTTAGGTGAACACATTAAGTGAGCACATGGTGGGCACACAAAACGTAGCAGCATCCCTGCACATATTTGGGAATCATTTCCACAGTCCCAACTCATATTTTGGCTGATCGTGAAAACAATATAATTACATTTCATTATAGCAAATGTCATTGTTCACATCTTATTTTATACACATGAAAACATACAATGAAAAACATGTGACACAAACATACAGGAAATAGGAATAGTTTTAGCAGTTCCCTAAACTTGAGATACTGAATACTCACAGAACTATTTCAAGCAGAATGTGCAGACAAATTAGGAAAAGGTAGTATAGACTAAGCTTAACTCCCTAACCTAAGTATACAAGATTAAAATTAATATTTTCTCTCACCTGGGAACTTCCCATTTATCGCCAAACCAGAGTACGACAGTAAAAAATATACCTTTTACGTCGACCTGTTTGTTTGCCGGCAGGCTGCGATTAATGACGGGAATTCCACAGGCTCGCAGTATAAGTATTAAATCTATTTGTCCAAATTAAACTCCTCCCTTTCCTTAGTTTTTTACCCAACCCTCAAGATGATGGCTTAAGCTCCTCCTCCGAAGTACCTATCAAATCACATAGCTAACAAGTGGCCTGTCAGTCAATTATGGACTGACATCCCTAGAGCAAACATTCTTAAGTGCCCCAATCTAGTTTACCCCGAATTACACTGACGTGTTTAAACTTTAAACTTCTCCTCGTCAATGTCTACAGTCCGCTCAATTCCCCTGTTCAAAAGGGCCCCACTCAGGCTGTGTTTAACATTATGACACTGGCGTGAGAATCAAACCTACACCCCTAGTCTCATCAAAAGTCTGTTCAAAGCAGTCTGGTCAGGAGATAAATTTATGACATGGGCATGTGAAAGGGAATTCTCTAGCCCCGGTGTAATTGTGTAACATTACCCAAGACTGAGTCGCTTTGTCTGGGACTAAGGCTGGAAAACAATTTAAATCCGTGCGGTTTAAAGCAATATTAGGATAAAGCGCAGAGTAAATATAATTCTGTCTCTTTAGAACCAGAAGAACTTATTACAAGTACTAACTTCTGGAATCACTGAGATCGTCTCGTGACACTAAGTAGTCTCCCTCTTTATTAATGCGTTTTGTTCAACGGTAAGAATGCTTACGTGTTTCTTCCAAATAAAAGGTTTTCAATTAGTCGTGAAGCCACGAAACACCTAATAAGAAAAGGAAAGAAACGCACAGCTAACAACAGGGTGGAGGACGAGCGGTCTGATTCGGAAGGAAGCATCAAGCCCAGAAATGGCGCAATTGTAGAATTTAGTCACGAAAGTTACGCAAACCCTGACCACAAATATAGGCGGTGACTGTTAGCAGCCTCGGCTAGCTAGCAGCAGTCTGAAAGTGGTCGACCTTTTAATTTGTTTCTCAAAAGGACTAGGACTCGTGAAGCCACTTTGCACCGCATCTTTAGTCTGAGGAAAATCGACGAATTCTTCATGCATGACATTTGTTTTTTTTTTTTTTTTTAAACTTTTTGATCCACAAAAACACAGCTTTACCTTCCCCCATATCTAAGATGAATTTTTGAACCTTTGATACCCTCCGATCAGATGAAATATATAAATGCTGGATGTTCCTCTTTGATTCCTCTTTAAAAAATTATTAGCATAAGCAAGTGCCTTGTTGACTAGTGTGAGTGATCTCTCTTGTTTAAATATTAACGTCTGCAACAACTTGTATCAAAATTTTTGTGGGAGAGGACTCTGTGAAACCATGTCTCAAGACTCAAGACCCAATGTTTCAACTGCAATACCCTTTTATTTGAGGGCAAAGGGGGGGGGGGGGGCGGGGATATAATCTTTCTCATGTTGGTTCAAGGGTCTAATTATTGGAGCAGACAGACTAGGACTCGCAGACAGTTCAGCCATTCCATGCTTTCCTGTACGATCCTTTTCCATACCGGGGATGGAGTCCTGTCAAGTACCTTTGGCCTCTCTCAGGCATACTTCGTGCAGAGTGGCAAGCATCACTTCAGAGGTCCCGGTTAGTAAGCATCCTTTGGATATTTTTGTCCAGGCTATGCCTGTGTGTTAGGAAATGAGCAGGCAGTTAGACTGAGTGGCTCTACGCCACTTTGGGGGGGGGGGGGGGGGGTGAACAGAAGTATGAAAAGTTAGATATTATGAGGGCCTTTAGTAAACATTGCGGAGGCGCAGACGGATCATTACGGTCTAAAGAGAATGGCGCTGCTAGAAGTTGCCAGGGGATCTGGCCAACGCCAAACACTCAGGGTAAGGATGAGACGGATAAACGATCAGACGGTTACTGGTACCATCGGAATTAGAACTCTTCGCTTGCTGCTGAAGATGGGGACTGAAAATTTATGTGAGTGTCCCGAGTGCTGTGATTCCGATTCTTAATTCAACATTCAATATTGACCTCTCTCAGATTAGGCCTATAGCGGTTGACATTCTCCTTCATAGATTTAGGTAGTTTAATTTCAAAACTCTAAACTTACACCCAGTGGAGAATAGACGTTCAATAACAAGCTCTGGTACACTGTATCTGTATGTCTACAGTTCGAGACCTCTATGTTGGATGTGGCCATATACCTTGTGGAAGAATCTGGACTGAAATGGGCCGCACGAGGAAACCCTATATGGATAGGGAGAAGACTGTCTGCTATGGTAAGACACACTTTGCCTAAACTGTTTTCACGTGCACGTTTTTCAGGAAGGCTAATCAGGGGCAACAAATACATGCAAAAGTTGAATGTGTCGACCGAAAGGCGCAAATAAAGCAACCACTTTGTAAACAGGCACCACACGATTAGATCTTCAGGTAAACGCAGAAAAAAGAAGAAGAAGAAGAAGAAGAAAAAGGATGAGGAGCGGAAGAAGACGAGGAAGAAATACATATCGTTATCAAGTTTGTGGCGCCTGTTTGTTCTCTCCTCTCCCAGAAACATGCACATGTTTTACCGTAAGCAGTCAGATAATGGCCAGTGGTCTGTTGCCATAATAATATTAATAATAAGAAGAAGAAGAAAAAGAAGAAGAAGAAGAAGAAGAAGAAGAAGAAGAAGAAGAAGAAGAAGGATAGTTGTTTTTTCCCACCAGTTCTCGTCTTCTCTGTAGGTGAACGCTCCCGATGACGGCGGTGTTCTGGAGGGAAGATGGGATGGTGAGTACGGTGACGGCACATCCCCGATGGCCTGGACAGGTTCTGTGGCTATCCTAGAGGAGTACTGGAAGACCAAACGTCCGGTCATGTATGGTCAGTGCTGGGTGTTTGCTGGTGTGGCTACTACAGGTAAGTGGACAGTGGAGGCATTAATCAATAGCAGCATCAGCATCATCATCACACTTGTGGACTGGGTTATTCGACATATATGACTCGTCGCCCTTAAGTCCATATTGCCTTTTCTTCTTCAATTTACCCGACCCTTGAAATTCATTGCTGCAGATATCACACATGTCCATTCATCTATGAGATTTTACGTTCTGTCTTTTTTCTATATTCTGGTTTACCTACTTCCATTAAACGCTTTTGTCTACAGTTTATGTGTGTGTGTGTGTGTGTAGGGGGGGGGGGGGGGGGGGGGTTCGCTCTGTAACCTATCTTTCTTTCTGTATATTTTCCCCAACACTTGGAGGCAATCAGTCCTCATGTTGCCAGCAATAAAGTGTGACTTAACCAGATTATGAATTTCATTTTTGCTTCTCATTGTACATTCTCCGCTGACTGATCCCAAGATGCGTCCTAAGAATGCTCTCCGAAATTTCCATTCCTCTCAGTCAAGTGCGATCTCACTTCTGACATCTCTTTGTGGTCTTTCTTGGACGTCCCGTTTTGCTTAGTCCATTTATTTTCTATTTCAGTGACTGCGTTAGGATTATTTGTTTCGTCTCAGAATATACCAAGTTTATCGCAGTAATGTTATCTCTTTCAAATTATCATCATTATCAACTTCCACTATTGCCACTGAGCACCGCTGAGGGGAAGAAGGGGGGGGGGGGGGGGTAGTTTACCATTCAATGCTCGATGAGTAGCACTGGATCATCTCATGCCGTGTCGATGCACATTGTCTTTAATGTTATCAACCCTTCTTCTCCCCGGGCCCCCTATATTTATTTCAGGTCAGCTCTTTTTATGTAAAGCGTCAGCGCTTGAAGTTGTGCCTGCATTCTAACAAACTGACCGAACTAATTCATCTTCTACTTCTCAATAAAGTTGATGCACGATATTGCTCCCAGTCTGTCTGATAAAATAGTATTCAACAGGACAGCCATCCTGGTACCCATTTGAGGCTGGGTCGACCTGCGACGTCCCATACCACGATAAAAATCCACGCAGCCCGCATACACTTCTTAAGTGACTGATAAATATGTGTGTTGTCCATCAAGATGATGATGACCACTCTTTTTCATCAAGTATGAGTACAAAGACGACTGATAAGGCCGATGCGGGCCCGAAAAGTTCTTGGACAGTGAGGATAGGGAATGGGCGTTGTGCCAGGGAGGAGATCTCCTGCAGTCGCCTTTCTGTCCCTCCTTTTCTTAATAAGTCTTGCTGTTCTGTTTGCTTCCCATGTAGCCGCGCCCTTGTGTAGAACTGCACGCCATGCATTTCGGTCTTGAAAGGCAGCCTCCCAATTGGTGTCATTCATCCCAAATGCTTTGAGTGAAGACTTCAAGGTGTCCTTAAAGCGTTTCTTTTGCCATAAAAACACACAAATAAACAGATGAGACACTCTTCAGGCTGTGGAAACATTGTATACAATAGACAAACAGATGGGCAGGTCGGTAGGTGGTTTACTAAAGAGAAAAAAAATCAAACCTTGAACCATAATTTTTGAAGGGGGATCTTTGGGTTATAATTGTGACTAGATTATCTGCGTCATATAAAATGCCTTAGCATTGCACGCCATCAAAAGCACTGAAAAGGACTCCAGCAGTGTTGATGTGATCAAAAGGAGACAGACCTAAATACTGTCCCGACGGGCGACGAAGTCGTCTACCAATGAACCAATGAGTGACCCAGTCGCTGATGTGAACAACATAATAGAAATAATTAGACAGAAGGACGCACTTTGTTCTTCTTCTTCTGCCTTTCTATCCCCTAAGGGAGCATAGGCCCTCAACCAACTCACGCCAAGTCGTTCTATCCTTTGCTTTTACATGGAGCTCTCCCCATGTCCTCCTTATCTTTCTAACTTCATTCTCCAGCTCTCTTCTCCATGTGTTTTTTTGGCCTTCTTTATTCCTAGGCCCCAAGTGGGTTCCAATGCAAAGATATTCTTGTTATGCTGTTCTCCGATTTTCTCATTGTATATCCTATCTAACGCCAGCGTCTTTTCCTCATCTCTTGGTCCACTGGAGCTTGCTTAGTTCCCTCCCAAAGCTCTACATTAGTAATTCTATCATACCATTTAATTCACTCTAATTCTGCGCAGGCACCAGTTAATGAATGTCTGCAATTAGTAGTTGCCTTAGTTGTTCTCCATGTTTCCGCACCATACAAAAGTACTAATTAGAAATTAGAATTTAAAATTTAAGTTTAGTATTTCTTTCAATTTCTTTTGACCTCCACAAATTCCCTAGTGCTATAAAAAACTACTCTTGCTTTGTGTATTCTTATTTTAATGTCTCTGTCAGTTCCCCCATCTTTATCTACATTACTGCCTAAATAGGTGTACGACTCCGCGTCTTGGAGTCGGCTGCTATTAAGAGAAACCAAATTACTGTTTGCCTGATTGATTCTCATTATCTTTGTCTTTCCTTTATAGATTTTCTGACCTAGTTGTTGTGATCTCGCATCAAGTATATTTAATTTGTCTTGCATCTGATTCCGTGAATGGGACAGAAGAAAAATAACATCAGCGAAGTCCAGATCATCAAGCTGTTTTGAAGGGGTCCACTGAATTCCATTCTTGGTGTTAGCAGTTACTGTTTTCATAATCCAGTCTATAGCCAGTAAAAACAGGAGGGGCGACACAAGACATCCCTGCCGCACACCTGTTTTTTTTTTTTTTTCAAATGTATCTGTTAGCTTTCCCTAAAGGAGACACTAAACAACACACAAATCTAAGGCTATAGTTACCATGCCGAGAATCGAGCCATACAATTCCTAATGTCATCTTTCTATGAGTGCCGATCAATACATTACCTTTTTTTAATTAAGTAAAGTAAAGATCATTTTTCTAGCCTTTGAGGTATCGGGTATATGGGAAGAGCACCCATATTTTTACAGACCAATGGACACCAGATGGGTAATGTTGTCAGCATTACACCGGCCGTCTTTACTTCCCCAGGACAGTCATCCTGGTACCTATTTAGGGCTGGTTCGCCCCACACCATGGTAAAAATCCACTTAGTCAGCAGTGGGTTTCGATCGCGGTACGTTTAAAAAATGCAACTGATACTTATGAAGTAACCTTATGTGTTTTTACGTGTCAGTGTGTCGAACCCTGGGTATTCCCGCTCGCTCTGTGACCAACTACAGCTCTGCCCACGACACCGATGGCTCCATCACCGTTGACCATCATCTCAAAGCCAACGGCGAAGTGGATAGATCTATCAAGGGAGATAGTGTTTGGTATGTTGTTGTTGTTGCGAATCCTTTACAGGACGTTGCAGAACCAACACCAACAGCCCGTGGCTGCTGTATGGTTTTTCTACGCAAATTTACATCCAGTAGTGTGCCATTGCCTTCTGGACGGTCGGCTTTCTTGGTACCACTGTCAAAACCAACGCAAGGCGCATGGCCCTCAGCTGGGATCGAACCCTGCATCCCGGCATTACGAAGCATTCGCATCGACTTAGCCACAGTGCCGACGTATGGTATGACCATTTTGTAATAACGGTTCTCGGTATCTTTGGCTCTTCTGCTTGTTGCTGTAGCTAGCTCTCCGTGCTTGCATCGTTGAGCCCTCTTGTGTTTAGAGGAGGGAAGGAGGTGGACCTACTCCTCGTAGAAGTAAAAGTAAAGTAAAGGACCCTTTTACACGCCTTTAGGCGTATATGTCATATAGGGCTAGACCTATATTTTATAGACCAATCGGCACAAGATGGGTGATGTGGTCAGCATTACGCCGGCCGCCTTTATTTCCTGGGACTGCACCCGATACCCACTCATGGCTGAGTCGACCTGGGAGCCAAGGTCATTTTTGAAAAAATGCCGGCTTCGTCAGGAAGCGAACCCACGACCTTCCGATCCACGGCGAGCGTCTAGCCCCTCTGCCACGACGACTTCCCATCAACTCAAAAGGGAGTGAAGAAATAACAGAAGTGTCTGGAGCAAGCACTAGCATCAACACTTAACAGACAGAGAAGACGGAGCTACATTGGATACATCCTGAGAAGAAACCAGTAGTGAATCACCAAACAGGTATTAAAATGGGAAATAAAGTGATTAAGTAGACAAAACCTAAAAACAAACATTAATGAGAGAGGAAAAATCTGCTCGACTGGATTCTGTCCACGATATTAAACTGATTCCAAGAGATAGAACAGACTGAAGCAATAGACTGTGAGTCCTATGTGACATCTAATGGCGCAACCGGATAATGAATGAATGAATAAATGAATGAATGAATGATTGAATAAATGAATGAATGAATGAATGAATGAGTGAATGAATGAATGAATGAATGAATGAATGAATGAATGAATGAATGAATGAATGAATGAATGAATGGGGGAAAATGAATGAATAAAACGATGACTAATTAGGGTTTCACTTAAATCGGATTTTCGGACAGAAAGACAGCAACATAATTTTTGTTGACAGCCTTTTGTCAAGGCATGGAGGGCTTTTAACTACATGAACATACTGTTGAAGTTCGTGGGTTGTGGAGCGGTATGATCACCTACACCGCTGTCAAGGCCTTTGTTGATAATGTAGATGAGGACGAGTATATCTTAAATGCGCAGATATCGAAGCCTAGCTTTAAACTTCCTGAAGGCGAAAGCAGCAAAAGAAGAAGCTACTGCCTTGAAATCAGAACTCCTGCAGAATCTTCTATGTCAATTTACACTAACCAGAATGCCCCCGAAAAGGGAACGAAAGAAACATTTTAAGGACAATCTAATGATTTCTAAAGAATTAGGAATTAAGAATCGACATCACAGCACTTGAGAAACTTCTATAAGCGTTCCACCCTAATATTCAGCAGAAAGCGATGAATCCCAAGTGAACAGCGCGGAGGCACAAATAGACCATTACGGTCTGAGGAGAATGGCGCTGCGGGGAGTTACCAGGGGATCTGGCTGACACTCGACACCCAAGGAAAAGACCTGATAGATGCACAATCAGACAGTTACTGGTACCATTGCTTGCTGCTGAAGATGTGGATGATTCTTAATTCAACATTATACTCTGTCTTAAAGTTAATGAAGATGATACAGAGTGATAGTCACCATGCCTAGTTTCGATTGTCACGTCAATAGTCCATTATCAGAAAGCTGTCTGCCTTTCCGTCTAGGAACTTCCATGTGTGGACAGAGATCTGGACAGCCCGCCCAGATCTTCCCCTTGGATATGGTGGATGGCAAGTCTTGGATGCAACACCCCAGGAACGATCAGATGGTAAGTGAGCCACTTTATTATGAGCTTTTATTAATTTTGAAATTTGTCCACAGTTCAGCTTGGAAAGACATGGTTGATAGCGTAAGGGCCAGACTCTCGTCTGCCAGTCCAATGGCCTTGGTTCAATTCTGCATCTGATTTCTTTAAAAACAAAACTGGCCTTGTTCCCAATCAGACTTAGCCAGATTTTAGTACCAGGTAATGTCATTGGAAAGCAAATGCGGTCGTGTGATGGTGACCACAAAGCAGAATACAGTGTTTTTGACAACCATGTGCTAGTTAAAGACGTTAGAGTGAACAATAAACTAGGAAAGTTTTAGAAAGGATGAGACATCGAGATTCGACACAAAAGAGTAAAAATCACAACCTTTACGTAAAAAAAGAAATAAAGTACAATATTTAATTCGTAAAAACAAGAAAGACCACTTGATCAAAATAATTACGGACACAACAAATAGTGCAGATATATTGGAGCTGTTAACACACTAATCAATAAGAAACCTTAAGACAGAACAATACCAAATTCTCTAAAGTGTGGTGATTTCATTTATTTCTCTAAATCAGAAATAGAGCATCTAAAGTCCACAATACCAGGCTCACAGTGTGACTTTAGGTTACTAGCATCATTCTGTGAGTAAAAGTGCCTTACAGCTATCACTTCTTATTTTCCCCTTATGTCTGTTGATGAAGTGAATAAATATCTTTCCAACCTCAAGCAAGCAAACTCATCTAGCGTGGATGGAGTTGTGCTGAAACAGTTATTAGTTTTCTCCTTAACGTGTATATACAATCAGTGTCTTGCCAAAAATTACATCTCATCAACATTTAAAACTGCCAAAGTTTATCCTCTGCTTAAACCTGGCTCAGCAGACAACAACTTTCCGGGTAATTATACTTATTTCTCTCTTATCGTCACTATCAAACCCGTTAAAGAAACACACAGACACAATAAATATCAACAATTGTAACATTTGTGGGGCAGTGGTGTAGACTTTAAGACATCCTTCGATATGGTAGATCATGATATCATTATTAAAAAATTTAAAAACTTGAAAATTAATGACAATTTAGTCAAATTAAAGTGGTCATTTTTTTATAGACGGCAAGTGGTGTCCTCCAATAACTGTTTGTCAGAAAACCACTCAGTTTAATATAGGCCTGCTCCAGGGATCAGTTCCATGTCCACTACTTTTTGCAACGTACATCAACGACCTTCCATTACGTCTCAGTATAACATGCGATCTATTTACTGACGACTTACAATATATACTAATAATGAGAATTGTGTTGAGTTAGAAGGTTCTTTACAGAAAGAGGTAAATAATCTTATTAAATGGGGTAATAGCAATCGCACGCAAGTGAACGTAAATAAAACGAAATCTATGCTTATAACAACAAGACAAAAGTTACAAACATTAGCACTGCACAAGCCACCACTTGAGCTTTCAATAGGTAAATTAGCTATTGTCAATGCAACTGAGCACAACACATTTGGCCTTGCAATTATCAATCATTTAACATGGATTTCTCATGTTTGCGTCAGCCTTACAATTATCAATCATTTAACATGGAATTCTCATGTTTGTGTCATAACAAAGCAAATACAACAAAGAGTTTAACAGCGTGCCAAAATTCAGTACTTCAGGAATAAAGAAAGGCAAAACATATTTTAGACGTCCTACATCCAAACATACGTCGACTTTTGTTCCACAGTTTGGGATGGCTGCGCCAAATCTAATGTTAAAAGACTAAGTTCCTTCAAAATCGCGCTTAACGCCTGGCTTCAGAAAGAAATCATATTGACAAAAATCATCTATTGCTATCTAAGACATGTGCCATTTAGTAAACGTTTTCTTTCTTACAAGGCTTATTTTATTCATAAAATGGTATCTCAAAATACTCCTAACTACCTTTTCTAGTTGGTTAAATCCAAAATTGTTTACTTCATGCTTACAAGTGATTATATGCTACCTTAAATGTAGTTACTATTCTATATTACATTATTAATTTATAATCTTTATAAGGTGTGTATGATATGTATAAATGCACATGCGTGTCTGTCTGTGTGTCTGCGTGTATGTCTGTGCGTATGTGTCTGTGTGTATGTCTGTTTGTGTCAGTTTATGTGTCCGTCCGCGTGAGTGTCTGTGTGTGTCTCTGTGTGTGTATTATCTGCGTCTCTGTGAATATCTGTGTGTGTTTGTCTGTGTGTGTCTGCGTCTGTTTGTGCCTGTGTATGTCTGTCTGTGTGTGTCTGCCTGTGTGCTTGTGTGTGTCTCTCTCTGTGTGAATCTGCGTGTGCGCGTGTGTGTCTGCATGGGTATCTGTATGTGTATTTGTGTGTGCGTATATTTGTGTGTGTAGGTGTGCCTGTGTGTGTCTGTGCGCGTGTCTATTTGTCTCCATGTGTCTCTGTGTGTGTGTCTATGTGTTTTTGTCTGTGTGTTTGTGTATGTGTATGTGTGTGTCTGTGTGTGCCCCTGTATTTGTGTGTAGGTGTTTGTGTCTTTGTTGTTTGTGTTTGTGTGTATGTATGTATCTGTTTGTGTCTGCGTGTGTTTCTGCATGTTTGGGTATCTGTGTGTGTGTGGCTGCGTTTGTGTGTGTGTGTTTCTGCATGTGTGTCCGTGTGTGTGCCTGTGTCTGTGTGTGTATCTGTATGTGTGTCTTTGTTTGTCTCTGTGTGTATGAGTCTGCCTGTATGTGTATGTGTGTCTGTGTGTCCGTGGGGTGTCTCTGTTGCATATGTGTCTGTGTGTATTATGTATGTATGTTTGTTTGTGGGTGGGGTGTGTGTGTGTGTGTAGGTGCCTATGTTTGTGTGTTTAAGAGAGTTAGTAAGAGGGCCTGCGCATGGGAATGTGTGTGTGTGTGCGTGCGCGCTGGTGCGAGTGTGTGCATGCATTTTACTACCCATGCTTTTGTGTTTTTTCTTGATATTTAAAATATACATATTATTATAAGAACATAACATGCTTTATTGATGAAATACAACTGCTGTGTGAAAGATATGTGCTTGGAAGGGTCTAATGTAAGACAGGCCTGCCTGCCCAATTTGTGACCCTTTGAAAATAAATTTCGTTAGTTCGTTCGTTCGTTCAATCGTTTACGTAGTCTTCTTTTTGTTCCACGCCCTGGTTCTTTGTGGCAGTTGACACCCGAGTATTTTCTTCAGATCTTTTTCTTCTGAATGTGTATGCCTTGTGATGTTGGTAGTCACGTCTATGCACAACCTTCAGTCTTGTGTATTTTCAATCAGCTCTGACACAGATGACCCTCCATGCCATGATGTAAGACTGCCCAGCATTAGTTCTCTCGGTCTTCCTCTGCCTCTCCTCCCCTCCAGCTTTCCCACTGTCACGATGCACTCCAGTTTTCTCCTTGTCATCACATGACCAAAGAATTCGATTGTCTTTTTTAGATGGCCAGACTAATTTAACTGTAGCTTTTTAACCCCTTACTGTAATTTGCTTTTTAGCAGTATAACCAATCTGAATATTGTGTGTGTTTAGAGGAACTGGACAAAGAAAGAACATGCCTAGATAAGAAAGAATGTTGAATGCTGAATGTTAAATTGAGAATCGCACTGAAACACTTCCATATGCGCTCGGTCCCCTATCTTCAGCAGCAGGCGAAGATTCCAATTCAGATGTAACCAGTATCTGTCTAATTGTATACCCGTCTCGCCTACCCCTTAAGTTTTAGCGTCGGCCAGATCCCCTTCTCACTCCCCGGAGCGCCATATTCTTCAGACCGTAATGATCTATTTGTACCTGTGCACTGTTGACTGGCACCCACAACGCCGTCACAACAACCAGTTTGTCATACATCAATTCACAACCAAGTGGTACAGAACAGACCAGTATATCTGCCTGCTCTTTACCCACCACACTGGCATAGCCTGGGAACGCTAACTACTTACGATCTCAGAAGCAATGCTAGCCATACCTAGATGAGAAAGAGAAACGCCAAACAAGCACTGACGATCTTTCGCCTTCCCCATCCTCTTTTATTGACTGATTTTCAGGAATCTACATCTGCGGCCCAGCTTCTGTGTCGGCAATCAAACAAGGGGACGTGAATCTGTTGTACGATGGGCCATTTGTGTTTGCAGAAGTCAACGGCGACAAGCTTTACTGGCAGCCCGATGAACGTGGGGTTTTGCAATGTGTCTACGTCGACAAAAATGAGTAAGTTAAGTAAAGCAAGATCCTTTTCACTCCTTCAGGCGTTCTGGGCATTTGGGCTAGACCTATTTTGTATAGAGCAGTTGTCACTTGGTGGGTGATGAGATCAACATCATGCCGGTCGCTTTCCCTTCCCTGGTACCCATTGAAGGCTGTGTTGACCATGGAGCCAAGGTCATTGTTGAAAACAAATCCGATCCGGCTCTATCAGGATCTGAACCCACGACCTTCGGACTCCCAGGCGAGCGTCTAGCCGCTACACCACGGTGGTTTCATAGATAGTGATGGTGAGAAAGATTAACCTGAACACTATGATACGTTCTTCTTCTTCTTCTTCTTCTTCTTCTTCTTCTTCTTCTTCTTCTACTACTACTACTACTACTACTACTACTACTACTACTACTACTACTACTACTACTACTACTACTACTACTACTACTACTACTACTACTACTACTACTACTACTACTACTACTACTACTACTACTACTACTACTATACTACTACTATTACTACTACTACTACTATTACTACTACTACTACTACTACTACTACTACTACTACTACTACTACTACTACTACTACTACTACTACTACTACTACTACTACTACTACCACTACTACTACTACTACTACTACTACTACTACTACTACTATTTACTACTCTACTCTTCTTCTACTCTTCTTCTTCTTCTTTCTTCTCCTACTTATTATTATTATTTTCATTATTATTATTATTATTAATATTATTATTCTCGCGTTTTTTTTCCGATTTCATTGAACGATCTCAAGCAAGTACTGTGGCCCAAAACAATACAACGAAGCTGCCCTCTAAGTTGACTCGTATGTTTAATCAATTTATCGGAATGGCCCGGACAAGACACACAGTATAGTGGTCCGAAAACTGGATCAAATAAGCCTCCCCAAAACAAGATAAACCGTATTCACTGTATCCAACAAGCGAGACTACAAGAGAAGCTTTCATAGCACTAGGGAATTTGTGGAGGTCAAAAGAAAATAAAAGAAATACTAAACATAAAATTTATAATTTGTCATGTCAAATCTGTACTTTTGTATGGGGCGGAAACATGGAGAACAACTAAGGCAATTACTAATAAATTACAGACATTCATTACTGGTGCCTACGCAAAATAGAGGGAATTAAATGGTATGATAGAATAACTAATGTAGAGCTTTGGGAGAGAACTAAGCAAGCTCCAGTGGATCAAGAGGTGAGGAAAAGACGCTGGCGTTGGATAGGTCACACATTGAGAAAAATCGGAGAACAGCATAACTAGAATGTCTTTGCATTGGAACCCACAGGGGCAAGGAATAGAGGAGGATAAAAAAAAACACATGGAGAAGATTAGTGATTAGAAAGGATAATCATCACAGCACTCTGGACAGATCCTTGGGTGCTCCGATCTCCTCCTCAAAAGTTCATAAAGTGTAAAACGCCTGTTCTGTGTTGATTATTGAAACGTCTTGCCCCCTTAGTGAAATGTTTATTTCTTGCAGCTCCAGGCTGCACCCCCATGTCCATCAGTCTGGACAGGGATACGGAGTCATTTCCTTTGGTGTGCTCCTCGGTACGGTAAGTGCAGCGCATGGCATTGATAACATCACTTCTGTCCAGTACTGGCCCAGCCATAGCAACCGCAGTGTCAGCAAGATAGTCTGCACGCTCGTTCCCTTGAACACCCGCATGGCCTGGCACAAAGATGAAGGTTAGGGCAGATATTCGTGAAGTGCTTAGTGCTGCAATCCATTCTTGCCTGATAAATCCAGCTTGGATTTTTTAAAGCATTTCACCGAGTCACTAAGAATGCATACATGTGTGAACTTTTGAGTACCAAGCCGTGCTAAAGCGTTTGTTGCAGCCATAGTTTCCATTGTAAAGCTACTAGTTGTAACAGCAAAGGCGCCATTCACCTCCTTGATGGTTGTCCCCCTTGAGCTTACTGTGAATGCCCATGCACTTCGCTTGCCCATAATTACCGACCCATCCTTGTATACTATAGCCTCACCGTCATCTGTGTTTTCGTCAATCAGTGTTCTGGCTAAAGTATCATCAATGCCAGGAATCTGCTCTCTACAGCTTCCATAAAGTGTGATATGGACTGTTTGGAGAGGGAGGTATAATTATCCATTCAATTCCAAAATTAATGTCAGTAAGGCGGCAAACATGTTCGATGGCATCCTCGGCCCAACCCATCCAGGATTTGCCTCGTTTGAGTCTACTCTTTTTTTGCTTGAATAATTCCTCATAAAGTGGGTGTCGATGGTCTGACTTCACTTTGAGAAAAGCAACAGCCCTGGATAGCTTGATTCTGTTTTCGATTGTTGGGACATCCAAGAGGTATCGCATGGATTTACAGGATGTGTCTCTAGTGCATCCCAGAATAATACGCACTGCCTTGTTTTAAATTTTTTTCCAGTCTGTTCATCTGTGTGGTGCCGAGTGTCATGATGACCAAGGCATATTCAAAGGTGGAGAGAACTAGCGTATGATACAACATGACAAGTAGCCACCGTTGCTCAAAGTTTGCAGCTTCCATAACTTTTATTAGCTTTGGTTATAATGTGGTCTACGTGTTTGTTTTTAAATGCTAAGCATCTGTCAAATGTTATACCCAGGTATTTCATAGAATAAAATCTCTGCACGTCAGCGCCACAGAATTTTACTATCGGCATTGGTGTTTTAGAAAGGTGATTATTTCATGAGAACCAGGCGACTGTCGCTTTTGATGGATTAATTGTTGCCCCTGAGGTGTTGCACCAGGATGATATGCGATCTAATTCCTGTTGTAGATTCAAAACAATGTCATCTCTGTTCCTGTCCTGTCCGTACACGAGGATGACATCAACATATGATAGAGTTCTTCCTCTGCCACTCAGTTGTTCTCCTGTGATCTTGACTGCGATATGTTGAAGAGGATAGGAGATAATGGAGGCACCTGTGGCAAACAAGGGTGTATCTTTATCGACTCAGTAGACCAGCCAAGACCGTTTCTTGTTCCCAAAGGGCTTTGATCACATCTGCCTTGTCATGTGTCAATTCACCACCCAGTGGTGCAGATCCAGCCAATCTGTCTGCTTGTTAATTACCCCCTACACAGGCGTGGCCAGGAGAAAAAATTCAAAGTATGCTCACTACCCGTGACCTTCCCAGTCCTGGCTCTAAAATTGCCTTTTTATCTTAAACAAAACTATCCCTAAAGCAAATAAATAGGTGTATTTACTGGTGGCTCAACATTGGAAACTGTATAGGATGCAGGAGGGGGAATTCACGCTGAATGGACCAAAAGTATCACTGGAGACTGCTATCTTCTTACGTGAAAACACTTCTCCATTTACAAAGTTTTTAAAGGGGTAGAAACTTTTAGAAAAGAGAAAAAGTGGGTAAGAAAAAACAAATAGTTAATGATAGCTTTACAAAATTGATCACAATAAACATTCAAAGGACGTAGCGGCGATAAGCCTTCATCAGCACATAAAGAACAACACAGTGCACATACACAAATATGCTCTAACTATAAAGTGACTAAATAGGACTCTAATGTGCAAAATAAATGATACTCATCTGTGTCCCTGGCGAAAAACTTCGTTCAAGAGAGCAGAGGCAATGTACACGGAGGAGGTAGCATCCGTATTACCTAATGAATGTAATTCTGAGTCGGAATTAGTTTTACTAACAGAAACTAACTCAACAACACAACAGAACTACCTAATGTACCGTCTTTTTTATTACAGAATAGGCCAGCATATCAGTACAAAGGCGCCAAACTCTTACGAGAGAGAGGATCTTACACTCAAATACAAATATGCAGAAGGTTGGTACAAGGAATTAACATTGTTATCGTCATAATCATCATCATCATCATCATCATCATCATCAGCAGCAGCAGTAGCATCGTTACCATCATCATCAGCGGCATCACCATCATCCACTTGTGTCGTGAAGATTTGTGGAGATAATTATTTCGGCTCAGCGCCCAATTGGTGGTACTGTTTGTCGTCATTCATTCTTTGTAAATGTACCGAAAAAAATAATAAAGACTTTTTTCCACACCTTTAGCTATAGGGCATATAGGGCTTCCCCTGTATTTTTATAGATCATTCGGCACAAGATGGGTGATGTGTTCAGCATCACGCCGGCCGCTTCTACTTCCCGGGACTGCACCCGGTACTCACTCAAGGCTGGGTCGACCTGGGATCCAAGGTCATTTTTGAAAAAAAGTCCGGCTTTTCCAGGGAGCAAACATACGATCTTCCGATCCGCGGCGAGCGTCTAGCCGCTGCGCCACGGGGACTCCCCTCTGTAAATTTACATTGTCTTAAATGCCGTGAAGTCATTTTCTTTATTTACTTCATGTCCAGTATGGTGAATAGGAAGGACTACAGTTAATTTTAGCAGGCTATTTGCGTCTGACTAGGGTTGGCTGTTGCATTTTCCCTCATGAGTGGACAAAATGTATATAGTTCCGTCGCCAAGCTACTGAATTAAGTGTATGGCGCCACGCTTTGAGCTGCGGATTTAATTTAGAATACTTTTTATAGATATGCCACTTGTAGTTTGTGTTTTGAAGCTTCATTTCTTATCAACAATGAGAAGGTTAAGGTTAGTTGCGTATCCTTTACAGGACGTTGCAGAACTAACCCTCACAGCCCCTGGATGTTGTGTGGTTTTTCTAGGCAAATTTACGTCCAGTAGTTTGCCATTGCTTCAGGACGGTCGGCTTTTTTTATACCACTGTCGAAACCAAAGCAAAGCGCATGGCCCGCAGCTGGGATCGAACACTGCATTCCGGCATTACGAAGCGTTCGCAGTGACTTAGCCACAGAACCGACAATGAGAAGGAGAGAAACAAAATTCTTTGGTCATGTAATGAGAAATGGAGCACTGGAAAAATCACTGGTCGAAGAGGAACAGGCAGACCAAGAAAAATGATAGTGAATAGCTTAAGACAGTGGCATGGAGGAATATCATTAGTAGAATTGACCCAGAACACCGGAGACCGACATCTGTGGTGTCACATAAACGGCTACGCCTGCTGGCATGGCATTTCATGATGATGATGTGTGCAAGTGCCGATCCATTGTAAGTACTAGTTCCATTGACCATTACCTGCTGAGTCAGGGATTTTGATGTTATACTTTCAGGTACCCGTCTAAATGAATTCATTGCAGGTGTTGGCTATAAGTAAAGTAAAGTAAAGATCCCTTTCACGCCTTTAGGCGTATCGGGCATATGGGAAGAGCGCTGTGGTGCATTACGCCGGCTGTCTTTACTTTCCCAGGACAGTCCATCCTGGTACCCATTTGAGGCTGGGTCGACCTGCGGCGTCCCATACCACGATAAAAATCCAACAGAGTTTTCTTTTTTCTTGTCCCCTGTTCTATCATTGTACATGTTAAAGGGAAAAGAAGAATGACAACAAATGAAATGATTTCTACGAAGGAGTCTTTATATAATAATAAGAGATAAGATCAGCAATGATGAAATCCAGAAGTGAAGCCTCATTTCAGGTACCTGTCTCTTCAGAGAGCAGTTACGGCTCTCATGTGGAAGACCCGGGTTCGACCCGCGGTAAGATGAGTGGGAAAGTTTTTATGTCTGGGGCAAAATTAAACATCCTAATCTGCAGCACAGTCCTTGGCGACAGCACCAGCTAGGCAATCCTAAATCCGCAGGCTCAAGCCGCCTTCCTCCCCTCCCCTTTTTCCCCTCTATAGCACAGTCCCCCCCCCCTCCCAAGTGGTGAAACAGATAGTAGTGACAGTTTTAGTCTCTTCGGAACGGTAAATAATCAGCAGTGTTGAATTTAAAGAAAACCAAAAAAAGTAAAAGTTATGTTTTGCCTGGTGCTAGATTTATGTTTGAGACCTCTCTCAGAGACCTCTTTTAGTTAGTTTCTTGGCTCACAGATGCAAATCAGTACTTGAAGCACTCCAGTCTAGGAAACTACCAAAATTGCAAACACTGCTGACACAACTCAGTCTTCAGCAAAGAGTCGTAATGCAGTGGATACCGTCCTATTATGGAGTGCCTGGAAATGAGAAAGCTGATCAACTGGCAGGGAAAGGTGCGACAAAAGAGCAGCCGGATGTACAAGTCACATACCACCAAAAGAAAAGAATAATTAAATCGATCAGGAAACCACCAGCCCCAGCACAAGACGACTATTTTATTATGGACAGATCAGAACAAGTCATTATCCTCCGCCTCAGAAAAGGGCACAACCGATTACGCAACCACATGTACACAAAATTCAAGATAGGTGTATCAGCTATGTGCACCTGTGGAAATGTGCCCCAGACAGCAGAGCATGTACTCCAGGACTGCACCGATTTTGACACATTAAGGTAAACCTTTTTGCCAGAAAGAACAACAGTGGAACGTAAACTCTATGGACTAACAACGACAGTGAAATTTATACAAGAGACAAAACTGCTGACATAGACAACTTATTTCAAGCGAACGAAAGAAGAAGAAGGAGAAGTTAGTTTCTCAACGTAATCCCCCCTCCCTCCCTCCTCTCTTCTTCCCAGTTGTATCGCTGTGTATTTTTATCTCACTGGCGATGCAGTTTTGCTCTCCAGTATGGTTGCTATGTGGCGAAAAAATGTGTACGACTCTTTTCCTTTCTTTTCTCTATACAACCTTTGTATTTGATTCATTGTGTGTCCATGGAATATGACCGCAACACTTTAAACACACTTAAACTCACTTAAACTCATTTTAAACTCACTTAAACTCATTTTAAACAAACTCAAAATATTTTAAACGCACTGCAATCACATGTTAAACACACTGTGATCCAGTGGCTCTCAACAGTCTTAATGCCGCGACATTTTGATACAGTTCCTCATATTGTAACGACACCCTAACCATACAATTTTCCTTGCTACTTCGTAACTCCAATGAATATTTTTTTTTCCGATGGTCTTATGCGACCCACGTGAAAGGTTCGTTTAACTCACAAAAGGTCGCCACCCACAGGTTGAGATCCGCTGCTGTAATGTCACTGTAATCACACTCTAAACACTTTAAACGTAAACAATCTTTAAAAAGCAGTGTAATTAAACCCACACATTAAAAGCACTATGAGCACACTTTTAAAACTTTAGCTGCATTGTAATAACATGGGACCTTTTAATCCAGCGGTTCTTAACTTGTAGGTGGCGACCCTTTTGTAAGTCGAACGACGCATTCACAAGGGTTGCTTATGACCATCGGAAAACACATATTCACTGAAGTTATGAAGTAGCAACGACAATAATTATATGACTGGGGGTCGCTGCAACATGAGGTACTGTATTAAAGGTTGCTGCATCAGCAGTGTTGAAAACTACTGATTGTTTGTTTGTTTGTTTGTTTTAGTATCCAGAAGCCATGAGTTGTTAACCCTTAGGCTCGGTATAATGGATATCGCAACCTTTCGGCCTTGATTCCATTGTAAATACCGTAAATCTGGGAGAAAATGTGGCTTTCCTGCCTACCCCCGGGCGTGAACCCGGACCACAAGGAGTTCGTCACTCCGTCTGTGCGCAATCCGGTTTAGCCAACTAAGCTAGAGAGCCGGGTCAAAACTACTGATTTAAACGAAATGTAATCATACTTTACACGCATTGTAAACACACATTAAAAAGCAGTGTACTTATTCTTTAAAAATTACATTAAATGCATTATAAGGACACTTTAAACACTTGTATCTATGTACGCGTCCCAGTATCAGAGGCAATTCTTTTGTTGTTTGAAAGCCTATTCTGGCTGTTTGGGTTGAACGGGGTTTCTGGGGCCTGTCCCCGGGTGATCCTTTTCCGTGTGGTAGCACTTTCTGCCACCGGGTGTTTATCGCGCGGTGTGATGTCCTGGTAAGGTTCAACGTCAATCAATCACTTTAAACACTTTACCTGCGCTGTAATCATAAATTAACAACTGTCAACGCACTGTAAGCGCACATTAAAAACATTGTAAACGCACCGCAATGCGCATGTTAACACACTTTAAACGCACTTTGAAAGCCCTTTGAACACTCGTTCTCCTGCAGACACTGTGGAAGAAAGGGCAGCAGTGGCCAAGGCTAACCTGGTCGGTTCCACCAGACGTAATGTGTACACGCCTACAGCTACCGTAAGTTTAGTTGTTACAATGTTACCTGTCTCTGTTGTTGTATGCTGATGAAAGCTCTTTAGCCGCAACGTTCGCATGGTCATTCGTTACTGTATTTTACTGGAAACCTAACGAATTATACTTTCATGTCTTTGTAGTGGTTTTTTTTTATTTTTTTTTTTTTTTACAAAAGTTACCTAGTTTAGTACTGCTTAAGTGTAGTTGATATAGCCTTTAGATTAATTTGTATAACTAATATTAAATTAGATGAGAACCCTCGTGGTGTAGCGTCTAGAAGCTAGCCTGTGGATCGGAAGTCGCGGGTTCCAATCCTAGCTTAGCCGGATTTTTCTTCGAAAAAGACTTTGGCTCCCAGGTCGACCCAGCCTTAAATTTCTATAAGATTCAGTCCTGGGAAGTAAAGGCGGCCCGCGTGATGTTGACCACACACCGAGTGCTGATTGATTTTCATAAAATATTGTTCCAGCTCTGTATGCCCTTTACACATGAGGGCGCGGCAAAGAGTCCTTCACATCAGTTTATATAGCTATCACATTAGTTATTATAATTACTAAATTAGTTGGTATATAATTATCACATTAGTTTAAATAACTATCACATTAGTTGATATAGCTATCAAATTGTTTGATATATAACTATACACATGAGGGCGTGGCAAAGACTCCTTCACTTCAAAAGATTAGTTGCAAAAACTATCACACTAGGTGATATATCTATCGCATCAGTTGATTCAACGACCACATTGTCTGATATATAATTATCACATTACATAATTATCACACTAGGAGATATATCTATCACATAAGTTGATTCAACGATCACATTGTCTGATATATAATTATCACATTAGTTTACATAACTATCACACTAGGAGATTTATCTATCGCATCAGTTGATTCAACGATCACAATAACTGTAACATTAGTTACAACTATAGTTTATACAACTATCGCATTACTCACCCAGCGCCAATTGGTTATAAAATAAAGTCAAGCCCTATGTTACTAAAAACACCCAAGCGCGAGGGAAATGGTCCTAAAATAATAATAATTATTATTATTATTGCGGAATTAAACAAGGTTTACGTCCTTTGACTGTCTCCACTACCCCCTTCCCTACTACCCCGCTCCTCCACTATCACCTCCACAGCTACCCTATCTCCCACTACCAGCCTCCCCCCTCCTCCACTATCACCTCCACAACTACCCTATTTCCCACTACCAGCCTCCCCCTCCTCCACTATCACCTCCACAGCTACCCTATCTCCCACTACCAGCCTCCCCCCCTCCTCCACTATCACCTCCACAGCTACACTATCTCCCACTACCAGCCTCCCCCTCCTCCACTATCACCTCCACAGCTACCCTATCTCCCACTACCAGCCTCCCCCTCCTCCACTACCAGCCTCCCCCTCCTCCACTATCACCTCCACAGCTACCCTATCTCCCACTACCAGCCTCCCCCCCTCCTCCACTATCACCTCCACAGCTACCCTATCTCCCACTACCTGCCTCCCCTACAATCCCTCCCCCACTATTTACCCCCATCCACTACCCCTTCCCAGGACTTTCTCGGGCCCCATTTAAATCCTAAAAGCTTGAGCGTACCCTACCTGCAACCATCTTACAGGTTCCAAACCGAAAATGATATTTTAAGGAGGTACCATGCCCGATGTTCATTGTCTATTATCTCATCGTTCATTGTCTATCATCTCATCGTTCATTGTCTATCATCTCATCGTTCATTGTCTATCATCTCATCGTTCATTGTCTATCATCTCATCGTTCATTGTCTATCATCTCATCGTTCATTGTCTATCATCTCATCGTTCATTGTCTATCATCTCATCGTTCATTGTCTATCATCTCATCGTTCATTGTCTATCATCTCATCGTTCATTGTCTATCATCTCATCGTTCATTGTCTATCATCTCATCGTTCATTGTCTATCATCTCATCGTTCATTGTCTATCATCTCATCGTTCATTGTCTATCATCTCATCGTTCATTGTCTATCATCTCATCGTTCATTGTCTATCATCTCATCGTTCATTGTCTATCATCTCATCGTTCATTGTCTATCATCTCATCGTTCATTGTCTATCATCTCATCGTTCATTGTCTATCATCTCATCGTTCATTGTCTATCATCTCATCGTTCATTGTCTATCATCTCATCGTTCATTGTCTATCATCTCATCGTTCATTGTCTATCATCTCATCGTTCATTGTCTATCATCTCATCGTTCATTGTCTATCATCTCATCGTTCATTGTCTATCATCTCATCGTTCATTGTCTTTTATCTCATTGTTCATTGTCTATTATCTCATTGTTCATTGTCTATTATCTCATTGTTCATTGTCTATTATCTCATTGTTTATTATCTATTATCTCATTGTTTATTATCTATTATCTCATTGTTCATTGTCTATTATCTTATGATTTTTTGTCTATTATCTCATTGTTTATTGTCTATTATCTCATTGTTCGTTGTCTATTATCTCATGATTTTTTTGTCTATTATCTCATTGTTTATTGTCTATTATCTCATTGTTTATTGTCTATTATCTCATTGTTTATTATCTATTATCTCATTGTTTATTATCTATTATCTAATTGTTTATTATCAATTATCTCATTGTTTATTGTCAATTATCTCATTGTTTTTTGTCAATTATCTCATTGTTTTTTGTCTATTATCTCATTGTTCATTGTCTATTATCTCATTGTTCATTGTCTATTATCTCATTGTTCAATATCAATTATCTCATTGTTCATTGTCTATTATCTCATTGTTCATTGTTTATTTTTTCATTGTTCATTGCCTATTATTTCATTATTTATTGTCTATTATATCATGGTTTTTTGTCTATTATCTCATGGTTTTTTGTCTATTATCTCATTGTTTATTTCTATTATCTCATGGTTCATTGTCTATTATCTCATTGTCTATTATCTCATTGTTCATTGTCTATTATCTCATTGTCTATTATCTCATTGTTCATTGTCTATTATCTCATTGTCTATTATCTCATTGTCTATTATCTCATTGTCTATTATCTCATTGTTCATTGTCTTTTATTTCATTGTTCATTGTCTTTTATTTCATTGTTCATTGTCTATTATTTCATTGTTTATTGTCTATTATCTTATGGTTTATTGTCTATTATCTCATTCTTTATTTCTATTATCTCGTGGTTCATTGTCTATTATCTCATTGTCTATTATCTCATTGTTCATTGTCTATTTTCTCATAATTCATTGTCTATTTTCTCATTGTCTATTATCTCATTGTTCATTGTCTATTATCTCATTGTTCATTGTCTATTATCTCATTGTTCATTGTCTATTATCTCATTGTTCATTGTCTATTATCTCATTGTTCATTGTCTATTATCTCATTGTTCAGTGTCTATTATCTCATTGTTCATTGTCTATTATCTCATTGTTCATTGTGTATTATCTCATTGTTTATTTCTATTATCTCATGGTTCATTGTCTAATATCTCATTGTCTATTATCTCATTGTTCATTGTCTATTATCTCATAGTTCTTTGTCTATAATCTCATTGTTCATTGTCTATAATCTCATTGTTCATTGTCTATTATCTCATTGTTCATTGTCTATTATCTCATTGTTCATTGTCTATTTTCTCATTGTTCATTGTCTATCATCTCACGCAGGATGTCCAGTTCAGTGTAGAGCAGGATTCTAGTCACACCTGGGTGGGCGACACCTTCTTGGTCGGTCTGAGGGTGAAGAACAACAGTCAGCAGAAGCGATCTGTCAAAGGCAGGATCTCCGTCAGCGCTATGTACTACAACGGTGTCATGGCCGACCAGCTGAAGTCGGAGCCTGTCTCTCTCTAAAACTGCAAGCTGGCGAAGGTCGGTGTTAGCTTAAAACTGCTACCTGTTAGTTTTGACTCTTTTTTTATTCAACTATACTGCCAACTGTCGGCTCTGTGGCTAAGTCGATGCGAACGCTTCGTAATGCCGGGGGGCCGTGTTCGGTCACAGCGCCTTGCGTTGGTTTCGACAGTGGTATTAGGGTGCCGACCGTCCAGGGGCAAAGACAAACTACTGGACGTAAATTTGCCTAGAGAAACCACACAAACAGCCAGAGGCTACTGAGGTTGGTTCTGCAACGTCCTATAAACGATACGCAACTAAACTGTTACTGCCAACAACCAATTAGGGGCGTTGCGTTGCGAGTCTGACTCGTAATTCCAAAGTACCGCGATCGAAATCCACTGCTGGCTGTGTAGATTTTTACCATGGCATGGGGCGTCGCAGGTCGACCTAACTTTAAATGAGTACAAGGATATATGTCCTGTGGAAGTGAACACGGCCAGCGTAATGCTGACGATATTACTCGGCTAGTGCCGATTGGTCTGTAAAAATATGGGTGCTCCTCCCATATACCCGATGCGCCTAAAGGCGTGAAAAGATATGTTTTTACAGCTGCCAATTGCTGCCTTCATTATGCCACTTTTGCGGTGTAAGCTAGTGGTCTTTGAACCTGAGGATTCACGGCTGCATGTCTAGTGCTGTCCCCAGGACTGAGTACGTGAGGATTGTATCTTGCCCCCGACAGCAAAAGGAAATGCCCAGCCTTACCGAGGATTCAAACCCGGGTCTCTTGAGAGCCCACCGTTCTAACCGTTTAGCCAGCCGCTCTTCGTAACTATAGTGGCAGTAAAGAAATTAAGAAGAGTTTGGAAGCAAACCGAGATGTGGTTCTCAAAAAGAATGTTGCGAATACCTTGGACTGCCAGAATAACTAACAATGATTGCCAAGAAATGTCTAATGAAAGTAGAACATTATATAGAACAAAAAGAAGGAAACAAATAAAGTTCTTTGGTCATGTAACGAGCACTGAAATATATGACTACGACTGGAAAGATCACTGGTAGAAGAGGCAGAGGCAGACCAAAAGAAAGATGGCTGATGGCTTAAGACAGAAGCATGGTGGAATATCATCTGTGGAATTGATTCAAAACACCAAAGGCCGAGATCTCTGTCCAGCTGGCAGGGCACTTAATGACGATACTGGCAGTAATGTAGATTAAGTGGGCAGGGGCTAGGTGGTCTCGAGGCATGGTGTCCGCCTCGAGTGCTAGAGGTTACGGCTTCATTCCCCGGTAAGGGCTTTAATATTTTCACGTGGACTTGGACTTTTGGTATTTGTCCTGGTCTCTGGGTAGTGAGGTCAGACGCCCATGTGCATTGTTGCGCGCGTAAACAATCCATTGGTAGTTGGAAATCGAAAAGAGTAGCTTAACGGTGCTGCCGGAAAAATGTTTGAGTTAAAAATCTACCAAAAGTATTTCAGCATCCTCGCCGGTGCTGCAGAGCCTGTGCACTGTGCTGAGCTTCTTCAGACTCGGACTTGAGTTAGAAGAAATAACAGAGCACTTATGTTTCTTCTTCTTCTTCTTCTTCTTCTTCTTCTTCTTCTTCTTCTTCTTCTTCTTCTTCTTCTTCTTCTTCTTCTTCTTCTTCTTCTTCTTCTTCTTCTTCTTCTTCTTCTCTTCCACCTTGTACCTCATCGAAGTGTCGGGGGGAGATGTAATGTTCGTTGATGAGCTCTGTCAAGAGCACTATTAAGACTGATGTTCATTTCTGTAAGGCTGTTCTTAATGCCATCACTCCATCTTTTCCGAGGTCTTCCACTCGCTTTATACCCGTTGTAACGTTTTAGTGTGGCTCGCTGGGGCATATAGTACCAGGGCATTCTTGTTAGGTGTCCAAACCATTTCATTTGTTGTTCTTTGATGACCTGTAAGACTGGCTTTATTCCTAGCATTCGTCTGATTTCATGATTTTGTATTCTGTCTTTCCTTGAAACTCCTGCAGCTCTTCTAAGGCATTTCATCTCTGTTGTCACAATTTTACGTTCATTGGAGGATGTAAGTGTCCACGTTTGGCACTGATAGCATAGTATTGGCCAAAAAAATAGTTCTGATAAGATTCACTTTAGTACTCTGAGGTATCTGCTTGTGTGTCAACAGGGGAGATAGTTGACCCATTACTTGATTAGCTTTGGCACATCTGGAGCTAATTTCTCTGTCCAGTTTTCCGTCTGAAGTAAAAATTACTTATGTTTTACTACCTAAAAAAAGCACCTTTATTTACCAAATCATTAGAGTATTGTATTTTTTGTCTGTAACAGAGAAGTTACAGAAAGTAGAGGTCAAGCCGGATGAGTACGATGGACATCTGAAAGATGAATGCATGTTGGATGTGTCTATCCTGGCTCAGGTGAAGCAGACCAGGCAGACATTCGCCAAGAAAGAGGACTTCATGCTTCGTAAGCCTCACCTCATTGCCAAGGTAATCTTAGTTTGATTTACCTTCTTATTCTTCTTCCTCTTCTATCTCTTCTTCTTCTTCTTCTTCTTCTTCTTCTTCTTCTTCTTCTTCTTCTTCTTCTTCTTCTTTTCTTCTTCTTCTTCTTCTTCTTCTTCTTCTTCTTCTTCTTCTTCTTCTTCTTCTTCTTCTTCTTTTTTTTTTTTCTTCTTTTTCTTCTGCTTCTTCTTTTTCTTCTTTTTCATTAACGTAAACAGTCGAGGACTGCGTGGTCTCGAGGCATGGTGTCAGCCTCGAGTGCTAGAGGTTCCAAGTCCAATCCCCGGTAAGGGCTGGGATCTTTTCAAGTAGACTTGGACTTCTAGTAATCCCCCCTGGTCTCTGGGTAGTGAGATCGGTCGCCCGTGTGCATCGCTGAGCACTTTAAAAAAAATTCCTCGGCAGTTGGACACAGAAAAGAGTAGCCTAACCGCGCTGCCCGGGCAACAATTTAGAGTTAAAAATCTACCCAAAGTATTTCAAGAGCCTGTGCACTGTGCTAGGCTTCTTCTGGATTATTTTTTGAGTTAGAAGAAAAAACAGAGCACTTATTGGTTACTACCCGTGTGCAATGATGTTGATCCGTTGTTCCAACCTCAAACCTCAAGCTAACGTAAACAGTTTGTTTCAGCTGACATCTTTCCAATCATTGTTCGATGACACAAGGTTGACAGCCAAAGTCATACATACCTAATACGTCTGAAATCATTGAAAAGGGTCCTTTATTTTACTATTCTTCTTCTTTTTCTTCTTCTTCTTCTTTTGCCTTTCTAGTCCCAATGGAGCATGGGCCCTCAACCAACTCACTCCAAGCCGTTCTATCTTTTGCTATCGTATGCAGCTCTCCACGTGTTCTCTCTATCTTTCGAACTGTATTCTCCAGCTCCCTTCTCCGTGTGTTTTTGGGCTTTCTTTATTCCTATGTCCCTGGGGGTTCCAGTGCTACGACATTCTAGTTATATTGTTCTCCGGTGTGTCCTATTCAACGCCAGCGATGTGAACCTGCTATTCCCAAAATGCACTGATCGTCCTATCTCTCTAAGGGCAGTAACAATGTCGGCGCGATCCATAGATCGGCAGCCATCAGCAACTAAATCAAAATCGGCCAGTCTGTCAGATTTTTCATTGTCAGTCACACTTGTATCACCTGGGACTAAAAGTGGAGTTTTCTCAATGTCTCAATCCAATGTCTGCTTACGGAGCCTGCCTTGACGCACCGGATTCTGCTCATAAAATCACCACACGGTGCGAAACAAGCCCAGGAGATGATCTGTGCACGTATGGGTACGCCTGACGTGCAGTAAGGATGATCTTAAAAAATGTCCATTGGTATTCGGAAACCCTTGTGCAAATGTGACTTGTTCGGTGCTGTTCACGGTAACCGTGACGTTTGAATTAGGGTACGCACTGCGCGCCGATTGATTCATAAAGCATTGGACTACATAAGGGTGTGAACTAATTCTAGATTATTTCAGGGGACACCACCGGCAATGTGCGATGTTGCGGGTGACGAGGGCGGGGGTAAATTGTCGCAGGCAGTCAGGCAACCTTTCAATATGTCGAGTCGCAGTTCGCTCGACACAGACAAATGTTCCGCCGAATAGAATCGCACACCCCTGTGAGCCAGAAGAGTCTAAGAAGCTATGAATCAAAAGTTAACGTCACGGTTACAGTGAACAGCACCACTTGGGTTATTTTTACGATGGTCTCCCCATTTACGCACCACCGGTTGTAGGTCAACTCCATTGATAAGTTTGTTGGACTAGTCTACCATGGTCGAGGTTATGGGCGTCGCAGTCTGTTGTTGTCTGGCATTTACGTTTTTATTTCCGAGAAAGAGACGGTCTGTGACATAGGTTTTGTCACTCTCTGTAGGGGTTGTGTGTTAGACCCAATTATCTAAATATTTTAAAGTGTTAAAAGCTTTCGCATGGTGAAATATACAACACGCGGTATCAGTGCGAATGCGGAATGTTCCCGTGACCTTGTATGAAAGTCGAATCGCTCGAGGCCGACCTTATTAGAGGTGAGGTGGTCAGTAGGTCGTCCAATCAGAAGCGAGCTTCCGTGTAGCGTTGTGTAAATAAGCAGACCAGCGTAAAATTTACCCAGCACTTGTTCTTTTGCAGGCGCCAGAGGAGATTGCCGAGAATGAGAAGTTCAAGCTGGACGTGTCATTTACCAATCCACTCAATGTAACCTTGACCCTATGCAGTGTCACAGTGGACGGAATTGCCGCCCGCCGCATATTCAAACAAGAGTAAGTATGCTTTCTTCTTTCTTTCTTTTGAATTTTGAATTTTGAATTACGAGTCAATATCTTAACCCTCAGGAAACACCCATAAACGCTCCGTCTCCATCTTTAGCAGCAAGCGAAGAGTTTCAATTCCGATGGTATCAATAACTGTCTGTTTGTACATCCGTCTCGATTTTCACTTGAGTGTTGAGCGTCGACCAGAGACCATGCCCTTTCTTTTATTTGGTTCTTTTTAATATCCTAGCTTCAGATGACGTCACAGGAAAGTCCAACATTTTAGAGGGTGGTTAGACTGGGTTTTCCGGATTTCTGATGCTTTTAACGACCCCAAAACATCTAGAACTGGCCCTAAACCCCAACCCACCCACGTCCCACGAGAGAGTGCAGCCTAGGTCCCAAGACTACATGCAGCCTAGGTGCCACGTCTGCATGCAGCCTATCTACCTATCTATTTAATTTGTTGTCGCTAAATGTAATTCGGAACTAGTTGAGGGTGGGAGTGAGGGGGGGGGGCATGAATGCTCTATGCAAAGTGGCAAGCTTAGCTTTAGAGGTCCCGTGGGGTTAGCGTTTTTTTGGTTTTCTTTTGGGGGGGATTAAGGATTGTTCGGAAATGAACAGGCAGATAGACCGGCTGCTTCTGCACCAGTGTATGGTTACGTGATGTATGACATGCCAGCTGTGTGCAATGTCCTTTGGGATCAAGTGAATTATGCAGAGGCAGCAATCGACCAGTATGGCCTAGAGAGATTGGTATATCTGGGTATAGACAGGGAATCTGGTCGACACTCTACACACAGGAAATGCAAGACCGGACATATAAGCGAACTTCATCTAGCATAATCAGAATTGAAACTCTTCTTTGGCTGTTGGAGACAAAGATGGGGCGTCTATGGGGATGTCCCCACTGCTTTGATGTCAGTTTTTAGCACAAAGCTCAACACAACACAACACTCAACACTAGTTCAGTCCCAACTTGTTTCCTGAAACCATCATTTGTGACAATGTCTCTTCTTGTTGTTTTTTGAATTTGTCGCAGACATTTTACACGGTCAAGCCATTCGTTATCGAGACTGATTTTCTTATGCCCAAGACAAATCTTCTTCTTCTTCTCTTCCACCTTGTACCTTGTCGAAGTGTCGGGGGGAGATGTTATGTTCGTTGATGAGGTCTGTCACAAGCACTTTTAAGACTGATGTTTATTTCTGTAAGGCTGTTCTTAATGCCATCACTCCATATTTTTCGAGGTCTTCCACCCATTCTATTCTTGTTGTAACTTTTAAGTGTGGCTCGCTGTGGCAGATACTGCACTAAATACACCAAAATAAATACATCATCCAAAGTAGGTCGTCCAGTCAGGTACCAACAATCTAAAATTTTGCGAAATGGCAAGGTTCCTCGGCCGGCAGACGACAAATGACCCGTTATTGTGTTTAACTAGTCAGTGGCGTTTTTAACGTATGTCTCAATCGACGTCACTGCACATTTGGCATTCTCAGGTGTGTTCAGTCATCGATGCAGCAGCCACTCCAATGTACATCTACTAATTGTTTCCACGAGAGGATGGTTATAATGCCCTCCTATCTTAGCTTGAAATGCGGCATAGATGTGCTTCACCATTTTTTACTCCCATGTCACGCAATCGTGCTAGTGTCAGAGATTCGTCATTATCCACTAGCCTTGTCCGTACAGCGTTGGCGATATCTGCTTTGTCCATGCTGTCTTCCCACATGCGTTGGCGCATTGATTGCCACTTGGTTCGCTCGCTCATTTCCCTTCACGCCAGCATGACCAGCTGTGTAGATCCAGGTGAAGGAGGTTAGGTTCGATTTTCGAATGTTTTCTACCCATTTAGACGTATACCGCCTTTGCAGCAAAGAGCGAACATGAAATTATAATTTAAATTTGTCATTATCCACTAGTCCAGTTCGTGTAAGCTTTGCTGTTAATATCCACGTTCGGCGCTTTGTGACAGAATGTTGATTCAAATACCGTGTTTTTCGTGCTTTCATCGACAGAAATGTGCTCCCCAAAGGAAAGTTCGCTACAACACTTGTAGTGGAGCCCGACAAGACGGGCCACGGAGACATCATCATTATCTTCAACTCAAAACAACTACTGGACATCAATACTTCAATCCCCATCTTTGTTCGGGAAATCTGATCTGTTGGGGTTTGAGTGGACAGGCATTTGGACTTTTGTTGGATACGGTCTGAAAACATGGTTGAGAATAGGTTTTAATCCCCATACATATACATACACACACATACACGTTTTTGTTTTAAAATCTATGTAATAAATACTTTAAAACGGGAGAGGGGGACGATATGATTGTTAAGGGGGTAAGAGGGAAATTTGATTGTTATGGAGGAGGGGAGCAATTGAATTGTTAAGGGAAAAGAGGAAAATTTGATCGTTATGGGGAGGGGAGCAATTGCATTGTTAGGAGGAAAGAGGAAATTTTGATTGTAATGGGGGGAGGGGAGCAATTGAATTGTTAAGGGGAAAGAGGGAAATTTAATTGTTATGGGGGAGGGGAGCAATTGAATTGTTAAGGGGAAAGAGAGAAATTTGATCGTTATGGGGAGGGGAGCAATTGCATTGTTAGGAGGAAAGAGGAAATTTTGATTGTAATGGGGGGAGGGGAGCAATTGAATTGTTAAGGTAAAAGAGGAAAATTTGATCGTTATGGGGAGGGGAGCAATTGCATTGTTAGGAGGAAGAGGAATTTTGATTGTATGGGGGGAGGGGAGCAATTGAATTGTTAAGGGGAAAAGAGGAAATTTAATTGTTATGGGGAGGGAAGCAATTGAATTGTTAAGGGGGAAAGAGGGAAATTTAATTGTTATGGGGGAGGGGAGCAATTGAATTGTAAATGGGAAAGAGGGAAATTTGATGGTTGATGGAGAAAAGGAAACTGGATTGTTAACGGGGCAATTCGAAACTGAAATTGTCCACTGTTTTATTTATACAGGGAGCATGCGAATTTAAGAAAGGCTTCTGTGGGGCATGGCACTAACAATGGTTTGGACACACTGAAATTTAGAAGAAGAAAAAAGTTACGCGATAGCATTTAACTGCTCAAAAATAAATTTTAATTAAATTAAATCAATTTTTAAGCTTGAAAAAAAAAGGACACAAGAAAGCATCTCATTACTACTGAAAAGAATTTATTAAACCCCACCCTGGCTGTAGCCGGGGGCCTAATATAACCTAACCTAACGGTTGAACGGGGTTTCTGGGACCTCTGGCTAGGTGATCCTCATCCTCATGGTGGTACTTTGTGTCACCAGGTGTTTATCGCTTGTTGGATGTCCTGGTGGGCAAATTTGTGTAAGGTAATTTAACATTGTTTAAATAGCACGCAAGAATACCTGAACAGGATTATTTTCATTAATCTTGCCGCCCTTTTTAAAATGAAATTTTTTTGTTATTTGAAGCCCCACCCTGGTTCTTGCCAGGGGCCGCAATATAGCCAAGCCATAAATATGGTCTAATGGCGGAACGTGGTTTCTGGGACCTCTCCACGGTGATCCTCATCCACAAGGTGGCACATTGTGTCATCGGGTGTTTATCGCTTGTGTGATGTCCAGTTGAGGTAGAAAGTCAGTTAATCAATACTTTAGGGTTCAACCAATCAATTGACTGTGTTTTTTTTTTTTTTTTTTTTGCATTTGTTTCATCGACAGAATAGACGTGCTGGCTTTCCCATCAACTTACCAAAAATGAACTATCTGATAACTGTGCGGTTTTTTTTTTTTAAACAAGAAATCTCTATCGGATAACTATATGTGTGTGTGTGTGTGTGTTTTTTTTTTTTAAACCTGAAATCACCGTGGGATAACTATGCGGCTTTTGATAAAAGGAAATCCCCATTGCAAAACTATGAGGTGTTTTTTTTTTTTTTTTAAATAGGAAATCCCCATCGGAAAACTATGCGGTTTTTCTTTAAAATTAGTATGTAATTTAAGTACCATTAAATACGCATTAGTAATTGGCAGCGGAAAGTGCCTATTTAAATCATAAAGACACACACACACACACACGCACACACACACACACACACACACACACACACACACACACACACACGCACACACACACACGCACACACACACGCGCACACACACACGCACACACGCACACACACACACCCGCACACGCACACACACACACGCGCGCACACGCACACGCACACACACACACACGCGCACGCACACGCACACACGCACACGCACACACCACGCACACACACACGCACACACACACGCACACACACACGCACACACACACACACGTACACGCACACGCACACACACACACACGCACACGCACACACACAAAACATGGATGAGTTAATCGTGATATCGTTGTCTAAACTACCACTACGTAGGCAGTAAACATTTTTAGAGTGGTTAAAGAATCAAGAGAAGACCACACGAAATGATGGTGGATGGCTTGTGACAGTGGCGTGCAGGAATATCATCAGCGGAATTGATCCAAAACACCCAAGGACCAAGAGACGTGGTGATGCATGAAAACCTACGCCAGCTGGCAAGGCACTTAACGATGATGATGATAGCTAGAACAGCAAACTACAAACATACAAACAAGGACCGCGATGCTGGGTTCTCTCTTTCTGCCTTAGACACAATGGGGATTGAGAACCGGCATCTATCATACATGTATAAATATACTGTTTTGTCTGCTTTTGCAAATTAGGAATTATACCACTGTCTGTTTTCAATATATTCAGAAAATGATGCATTATTTCGTAAACAGCGTTTCATTCATCATCATCATCATCAGTTTCCACTTCTCCCGTTAAGCGTTGAGGGGAGGAACAGTTTGAGATTTATTGCTTGATGGGCAGCAATAACTATTGTCACTCCGTGTCGATGTAGAAGCTCTTTGATGTCATCAATCCATCTTCTCCTTAGGATGGCCTCTCTGATTTCACTTAAGACCTATCTGTTCATGTGTAACGCTTGCGTTTGTAGTTATTCTTGACGCATTCTTACTAAACAACCAAACCATTTGATCTTCTGTTTCTAAATGAGTTTGCTGCTTGGTGTTGTTCCTACAGTCTGTCTGATACTATCAATTCCTACTTTGTCTCAAATGGTTAAGTTAGCGGATTTTCTCAGGCATCCCATTTCACAGGTGTTAATTTTACGTAGGTTAATCTTTGATAAATCGTTTCATTATCTTGTGCTACTGTAACTGCAGTTATACTGGTTAATTATTATGTTATGTTAACACTATTATTTGTATGGTTTTGAGTCGCCACAACATGAGGATCACTGTATTAAAGGGTCGCTATAACATAAGGAACACTGTATTGAAGGGTCGCGGCGTCGGAAAGGTTGAGAATCACTGTGTTAGATATTCGGTGTTATATTAAAATCTTACCCCAAACAGGGAGAATCCGCAGGTCAACGTACAGTCTAATATTTCAGGGGGTGGTAGACAGGCTTTTCTTTTTCTTCTTTTTCTAGATTCTTCGGTCTTCTTCTTAAAATCTTTTCTTTTTCTTCTCTTCTTCTTCTTCTTCTTCTTCTTCTTATTCTCCTTCTAGACTTCTTCTTCTTTTTCTTCTTCTTCTTCTTCTTCTTCTTCTTCTTCTTCTTCTTCTTCTTCTTCTTCTTCTTCTTCTTCTTCTTTTCTTCTTCTTTTTCTTTTTTTCTTCTTCTTCTTCTTCTTCTTCTTCTCTTCTTCTTCTTCTTTTCTTCTTCTTCTCTTCTTCTTCTTCTTCTTCTTCTCTTCTTCTCCTCTTCTTCTTCTTCTTCTTCTTCTCTCTCTCTTCTTCTTCTTCTTCTTCTTCTCTTCTTCTTTTCTTCTTCTTCTTCTGATTCTTCTTCTTTGTCTTCTTCTTCTTTTTCTTCTCCTCCTTTTTCTCCTTCTCCTTCTTCTGATTCTTCTTCTTTGTCTTCTTCTTCTTTTCTTCTCCTTTTTTCTCTTCTCCTTCTCTTCTTCTCCTTTTTCTTCTTCATCTTCATCTTCTTCTTCTTCTTCTTTCTTCTTCTCTTCTTCTTCTTCTTCTTCTTCTTCTTCTTCTTCTTCTCATCATCATCTCATCTCATCATCATCATCATCTTCTTCTTCTTCTTCTTCTTTTTCTTCTTCTTCTTCTTCCTCCCCCTCTTCTGCTTCTACTGCTGCTTCTTCTTACTCCTCCTCTTCAGCCATTCAGCCAGCGACCTCAATGAAGTGTGGGAAGCTCTCCTAAAGTCGTACCTGCCGTTGTGACTTTCCTGTAATTTTATATAGTAATTGGAAATATTTAGCACTGGTAGCCTAATTAAGGCTGGACAAAAATATTTTCACAACATAATTGCCTTGGTAAACAGAGGTTATCTTTCTATGTTTCAGAAATGTGGTTAGTTGGTGTTGTTTGTTTGCACAAAAATATGTTGTATGTTTACAATTCCATGTATTCTGTATATCAATTGAACGGTGCATATTATATAAACGGCTTTCTGCTAATAAACTGCAATGATAATTTTAAATGATATTTGTTTTGTTGCATTATATGTGCATAATGCTAATTTATATATCTAAATCTAGTTTCAACAGCACGCGAAAGTTTTTGGTATCTAGAGAGAAACAACACATTAAAATTAGAATGTTCAAATGTTATGTAAACTCATCCTCGCTGGTTGTGCATAACCCTGAATAATATAAAGGCAAACAAAAATGTAACTCATGCAAACATGGTTTGCGAGGGGAAGAAATGACAAGAAAATCTCCGAAAGAAATTAAAAAATAAATTAAGGTACAGTTGAAATATACAAAAAGTAATAAGTCAACAGCCGCTTAGGAAAACCTTGGTTGAAACCACAAAAGAAATGTAATACAAACATAAGCAATATCAAATTGACATGTCACGTAAATGAATGGAAAAATACATTCAAACGCAAAGATAGGCGTGAAGTGTGCCACCCACCTTTTCAACAGTCACGCAATAGATACTGGACAACAAGACATTTATTTCAAAATCGGAGCGATTGAATGGTGCGCAAGCGCAAATACATCATTAAGGTCTGATGAGAATGGCACTGCGAGGAGTTACCAGGGGATCTGGCCTATGGTTAACACTCAAGGAAAGGGCGAGACGGATATACAATCAGACAGTTACTGGTGCCATCGTAATTGGAACTTTT